ATATATATATATATACACACATATTATTTTTTTTTTCATAAAGGTACAGGATTAAAAAACAAAACAAATATTTTTGATAATATTCCGTTTCCAACAGTATAAGATTTTTTTAATGAAAAATCTAATAAACCATTGCAGACATGTTTTTGTTTTTAGTATTTTACATCGCTTCATAGTGTAACTCTTTTTGTTGCATTTTAATCCAATTTATTTTGTTTACTTTACATTTATGCTTTTATAAGATCCTCTATTGTCTGTACCTCATCTGTGTTCTTTGTTTAAAACAGGTCTCTCTTGTAAATGAGTCCTCGAGGCTCAATGAGACTAACCTGTACAAATAAAGACTGAATAAATCTAAAGCATAGCACAGGTGATTATTGTTTTTGGTTGCATTTATGATCATTTGTGCAGTTTTAAATGCAATAATGTATATTTAAAAAACAATATTTAGTTAAAAACTAGCATTCTATGAAGGAATGCATACTGTTTGCCAACTTGTATGCCAAAATTTTAAACAAAAATCTTGTTACATCTGATAGTACTTGTAGTATCTGTTGTAAATGACTCTTAGCTACTACTACATCCCACTGTAGCTCAAAATATGTACAATCGGCCAGGTTAATGCTAATTTTGTGTTTGAAAAGTTTAAGCTGTGGCATATACTTTAATCAGGTCAACTCCAAAAGTTAATTAGCTGCAGACATACATTAAGTAACTACTTTTTGAGCGTTTCATTAAATCCACCTCATTAGTAATGAGATATTTTGCTAACGGACAAACAAATAAGCTCATGCACACATGCACAAACAAGGACATTTACATTATTGCTCACCTTTCATGAAGGCAGGTGATGATCATCAAATCAATGAAGCAAAAACAAATAAAGGCAGTTTGTGTAAAATTCAGCACACAGCTGTTGGTCTACAGACATGAAGCGAGGCTCATTAGCATCACGTTTTAGTCTCTCACCGTTTTGACGATGATGCTGTCATGACAGGTGCTGTGGAGGCCGAGCTGCTGCAGAATGGATCTGACCTGCAGCAGAGCCAAGCGATCACTGCAGGAAGAAAAGGCAGCCAGTCATTATCACTGAACACACCAGCTGGAACATCAAGCGACAGTTTGAAATATTGAACAAGCATTTATGTGGTTGATTTGCAGTAAAAGGTGAAAGCAGAGGCTCGTCTACCTCTCTATTTGTGACAGATATTTGGTTTCAAATATTCCTGGTGTCTTCAAGGTTTCTGTCACATGTCCCTTAAACAGTAGACCCCTTCTGGTTAGATCCAATAATACCCGTCGCACAATTTCTCCCAAATACATCCCACTGGTGAGCTTTTCAAACCTACACATAAAAAAAAAAAACCACACAAAAATAAATAAAACCGTCACTTCAGCATTAGAAAAGTGAACCAGTGAGGAGGATGTTCACGCAGCTCAAACATGAAACGATCGGTTTTTGGAGATAGACAGGATAATAAAACACAAGGAGCATTTTTAACCTTTGTTTTCCTTGGTTGATGGAGTTTTTGTCCACCTCGGTGTCATAAGACGTGATGATATCGTCCAGACAGCCATCATCACCCAAACCCCCCCACTCTGTGTTTATACACATTTTAGACATCTCAGAATTTGCTTTTTTCTTTTCGTCGTCCCCAGCTTTCTGCTGAGAGAGAAAACAGTTTTACTTAATATTTTAATTTATGACGACCATCATCACATTACTCACTGCTCCTCTAAACTTTGTTACTTTTTCCTCATCTGCTTCGTGCGTCTTTTCCTCTCTCTTTGTTGGGACACCTCCTTGTTCAATCTTCTCAATATTCTTCAGTTCCTCCATGTAGCAAAGATTTGTGCCTGTTCCTAAAGCACATAACCACAGCTGGTTCAGTCTTAAATAACGCCAGTCAAAAAAGGTTAGCAACATCATGGTTTTCATTTTGAATAAGTATATGTCCAATTTTTTGACAAATACTGCATGTTACATTACAGTAGACCAAGCATTTTAAAGATCATGTGTTGAATCTAGGCCTGAACCTGCAACCCCAGGATTACAAGACCATGGCACTGTCCACCGAGCTACTGTAACCCCAGCTATGACTGTGGTATCAGAATCACAGTATCTGAGACTAATCAAACTGCTTTTACTTTGTAAAGATACCTGAGCTCTTGTCATCCTTTTCTTCAAAGTTTGTTACATACCAGCAATCATTCCAATTTCACACAGAGGGTCTTCATAGGCGCAGCTCATCATGGTCCCAACTGCATCGTTGATTAGGGCAACAATGTCCAAGTCAAACTCCTGAAGGCATGCACAGATATTTTTGCACACATGCACATCCAAACATTAATTAGGTGGGTACCACTTTACAGTAAGACTCCCCTTATAGATGGCTAATAAATAGTTTACAGTTATGTTATTAATTCCTCTATAAACACATTATAAATCATTAATAACTGCTTATTATGCATTAATTAAGGGTGACTGAGACAAAACTGACCAGTTTCTTGCCAAATAGTGATCCAAATCTGTTTACCTATATATTTCATCTAGAATTGTTATATTAAACATTTTAGACCAAGTTACTACCTTGTAAACACAATAAGAATTTGTAAACCTATTTCTTTAGCATATAATATTGTACTTCATCACTGCATTACAAGTACCTACAACTAATATTATATAATGAAAAAATTAGGTTTACAAATGCTTATTGTGCTGACAAGGTAGTAACTTAGTAAGAAATGTTTAATATAACATAAAATATATAGATGAATCTATTTAGATCACTATTTGGAAATAAACTGGTCACTTTTGTCTTTCCGTCACCCTTAATTAATGCATAATAAGCAGTTATTAACGATTTATAAAGTGTTTACAGAGGAATTAATATTGTATCTATAAACTATTTATTAGCCATCTATAAGGGGAGTCTTATTGTAAAGTGGTACCATTAGGTGCAATATTGTTCAGTCCAGTGTCTGCAGAATGTGTTCTTACACAAACAAATATTACATGCACATAATTCGGAGTTTTAGTTCAATACTGAAAATAATTAAAATCTGTAGAATCAATGCTTCCATCTCAACAACCACAGCTTTGCTCATCATATAAAATTTGTTATGTTTGGACTCACGTTGCGTCTCTTGATGGCATCTCGAAGCATGTTGACAACATCGTGTCCTTCACAGTCTGTTGCCTTGAAGCCTTTGGTCCAGCTCACCAGTGTGCCCTGTAAAGGTATAAAATCAATGAATCATCCTCAGGAGTCTACTGACTTAATAATTATTAATCATTATAGGTTGCAATCACTTTAAGAAGAGATTTATGTGAAGTTAAAAACTGATCTTATGGGACAGAAATGAAATCTGAGACAATCCAGTGCCTACCGTATCAATGGCAGACTGCTCACAGGGGAACGAGAAGGTGAAACCTGCAGGAAGACGAGCTTTCTTCAATCCCATGTAGTCCAGGAAATCACAAACGCATTGTGCTAAATGGTCGAACAACTAAAGGCAATCAAAGAAAAACATCAAACTTGCAAGATTAGTCTTTTACTATGAATCTGGAATGAGGATTGTCTTACCTCCTCTCCAGTTCCCTGCATAATCTCCAGTGGGATGGTGTAAATTTTGTGGTAAAGTCGGCATCTCTGTTTTTTAAATCTCACAAGCAAAGCTCTGAAGTTAGTTCCTCCAAGATCAAAGGCAAGGTATTTCCCACGTTCTAGAAAAAAAAAAACCACAATTAACATTACAATTGTTTTGTTTTGGTTTTGTCAAAAAGTGGAAAGATTATTTAACCGAGTAGTTTTAATAATAATAAATAATACAGTAATATAATTTATTTTCAGTGCTATTCTGACACTTAAGGACACCAAACAGAGGGTATAAGCAACACATACATATAAAAACATCACATAAAGAAAATGTGCAGTTAAAAATGTTAACATATTAAGGCATGAAAAATAAAATAAAATAGAAATCTTAAAAAAAAAAATAAAAAAAAGCAGGGTGGCATAGTGGTTAAGTTGGTAGAGCTGTTGCCTCTCAGTGAGAAGGTTGCTAGCTCAAATCCCGGCACGGGGCCATTCTGGGTGGAGTTTGCATGTTCTCCCTGTGCATGTGTGGGTTTTCTCCTGGCTCTCCGGTTTTCTCCCACAGACCAAAATCATGCATGTTAGACTGATTGGTAACTCTAAAATGTTCCTAGGTGTGAGTGAGAGAGTAAATGGTTGTTTGTCTCTATGTGTCCCTGTGATGGACTGGAGATCTGTCCAGGGTGTCCCCCGCCTCTTGCACAGGGATGGCTGGATATGGGCACCAGTCTCCTCCATGACCCGAAAAGGAAGAAGCAGGTAAAGATAATGGATGGATGGGGGGAAAAGGCAGCATAAAAACAAGAAAGTGCAGCTTTTAATCAACTTGGATAAGCAATCCTGAACAGACACATTTTGAATCTGGCCTTAAAGAGAGGGAGAGAGTCTGAGTTTCTGGGGACAGTGAACTGCAGAGCAGCTGAATGCTCTGCTCTCGATGGTGGTTAGGCAGACGAAAAGAACAGTAAGGTGGAGAGATGAGACTGCTCTGAGGGAACAGGATGGAGTGGCAATGCAGAGAAGATCAGACAAATATGGAGGGGTGAGAATATGAATGACTTAAAATGTGCACAGAAGAGTTTTGAAATTAATGCAGTTTGACTGGTAACCAGTGAAGTTTGTATAGAATAGAAGTATATGCCTTGAGGAATGGATTCTGGTAATGGTACAAGCTGATGAAGTCTGAATCAGTTGGTTTATGAAGGGATTTGTGAGGAGGACCAAAAGGAAGAGAATTACAGTAGTTGATACGGGAGCTAACAAGACTGTGGACAAGTATAGCAGTAGTATGAGGCATAAAGATGGGGTGGAGAACATTAATGTTATGAAAGTGGAAATATGCATACTGGGTGATGTTTTTGATGTGAGATTGAAATGATAGTGTACGGTCGAGGATGAACCAAGACTCTTAATCCGAGGGGATTGGGAAGCAAAGGATGAAAAGTAAGCAGGAGTCTGAGACCATTAATGATTTTTATAAGAGCAGTTTCTGTGCTATAGAGGGGATATAACCAAACTGGAAGTGTACATAAATATTGTAATTTGTTAAATGAGAATGAAGTTGAGCAGCAACTACTTTTTCAAGTGTTTTGAAAAGAAAATGTAAATTTGTAATGTGACGAAGATTATTAAAGTTAGTTGGGTCAGTACTAGATTTTTTTCAATATTGGAGCAATGGTAGCTGTTTGAAAACTGTAGGAAGAAAACCAGTGGTGAGTGTATGATAGTATGAAAGATGTAGAGGAGCAGAGAGGGGAGGCAGGCTACAAGAACAACAGGGACGGGATGACTTGGAGTTGTGGATGAAACCAGGGATGTCTGCGAGAGATGGAAACTGAAAAGCAGAGAAAGAGTGAGAAGGAAAAGGGGGTTGAGGTGAGGTATTAATAGCAGGGTTTGAACTGAGGAGCAGGTGAATTTTCTGAATTATGTAATTAAGAAAAGACCTTAAGGAGTCACATAAAGCAACAGAGTGAATATGAGGTGGAACAGAAGCTGGGGGTTGGAAAGTTTTGTTAAATATGAAAACAGTAGCTCAGAATTGCCTTAATATGAATAGATTAATTCAGAGTGATAATTTTGTATGAACAATACAGTGCATTTAGTTTTTAATATGGTTTTTGCACATCTATTTGTGGATTGCATGACCAGTTTTTCTATGGAGATGCTCATACCATCAGTCTTTGGCTTTCGTCAGCTGTAGCTCTGATGGAAACCAGGGAGCAGAAACAGAAAACGAGACCGACTTGGTTTTGAGAGGAGCGAGATAATTGAGGGATAACTGAGGCCACTATTATTGTGAGAAATTAGGTAATCTGTGGTGAATAAGCCATGTAGATCCAGAAATCCATCAATGACACAGAAAAAGAGTATCAGGGTTTATTTTCTTAGTATTACAAAAAGTGATAACCTATTAAGGCATAACTGATGAGAGTGAGTTTGATATTAAAAGAGAGGAGCAAATGATCAGTTATGGGGAGTTCAACAGATCCTATGTTGATTGGGGTGAGACCAGAGCAGATTAGATCCAGAATGTGACCATTGGAGTGTGTGTGGGGAAGTCAACGTGTTGCTCAAATTTGGAGCTATCAAGGCATGATGAAAAGTCTTTAGTGAGGAGATGACTAATACTGTTCATGTGCGTGCTGAAATCTACCAGCAGTAGTACGTTTGATTTATAAAGTGGATAAATACGTAAGCAAGAGAGCAAAGGCATTAAAGTTGCTGTATGATTTAGGGGGGCAGAAAAAAGTTGCAACAATGGCAGAGATGGGTCCAGATAGTTGACAAACAACTGACTCAAAGGAGTTGAAAGCAGGAATAGATACCGAGTTTCCATTTCTAACTGTAAATTATCACAGGACGTCCTCCGTGGTGAGATGTGGTTGACAGACGTAAAAAAGCCCGGAGGAGTTGACTCGTTCAGAAAAGTTATTGGGTTCTTGCCAAGTTTTAGTTAAGCACCAAAAGTCCACCCCATGGTCAGTGAAAATATCCAGGATGAGATGTTCGTTGCTCGTGAGTGGATGTTAAGAAGACAAAAGCAGACCGTTGTGCTACCTCAATTCCTAGTGGGGCTAGACAACCTGGGTAAGCCAGCTAACACAGAGTGGTAAACAGACTTGCTGGAGTGTGGTGGAGGGTTCCCAGAAGAGGACTAGAACAATATTTTTTTTTTATTTGGAGTAGTCTGTGTAAAAGCATGTGCAAGAACCCGGTGGCTGTATCCTCGGCAAGGCAGGAAAACAATATCCAGGTGCAGGTGAAGGTGGAAGCCCAGACGGGTGATGACGAAGCCAGAGGAGCTCATTAGCTTTATATGGGATAAGTCCTGTCACGGGTTGATAAACTGGCAGCAGGAGAGTCCAGAGAAAGTCATATCAAGTATAAACTCAGCCAGCTCACATTGTGGATGTAGTGATCCAGTCAGAACATTCCAAATGAAGGTGTGAAGTCAGCACAGGACAAGTTGGCAAGAGTCGCACAGCACATAGAGTAAAAACACAATCTTTGGTGGTAATGAGACACTAAGGAATAAATCTCTCAGGTGAGAACAATTGCACAGTCCATTGAGTCATAAAACAAAAGTTTTCGAGAGTAGCGACATCGCAGCAGCATCCACTCAGCTGTCATCCATATGGGCATTTTGTGTGGGAAGAAGACAAACAAAGCTATCAGTGTAGTTGTCATGGAGAGTTTGAAGTGTAAAGGTAACACTCGTTTAGTTCCTTACCTGTGCCATCAGGTGTGAGGTACACAAAAGAAGGTAACATTTTGATTGTGGAGGTACTTTTACTCTTCAGTCCTGCCTCCAGCCGTGCTCTCATCCTGGCTTTGACCAGCAGGAGCTGCTCTTGGTTTATTCTGAAGAGAGCCAGTGTCTCTACCACCTGGAATACCGAAAATTCTGTGCTTCAGATGTCAACAGTAACGAGGGATATTTTTGTCCATCTCAAAATGCACACACTGTATCATCAATCTAACCTTTCGTCTGAGTAATGCAAGGCGCTGGGCGACTGCTGCAACCAAGGCAGCACCTTTGCTGCTGCCGCTGTCAGAAAGGACAAATCTAACCTGGCACTCAGGAAGCAACCGTCGCACCACTTTATGAAGACGTTTAGGATACCTGAAAAAAGTGTGGTAGTGTAAAAAACTTATTCAGTAATCAAATAATGGTCAATCAGATCATTTGGACAGTTACTTTTTTGTGGAAAGATGTTTCTCCCTCTATATGGAGGGCTTCATCAGTCTGAGGAGTCCCAAGTAAATTGTTTTCCCACTAAGCAGTACACTCCTTTAGTGGACCAACCAATTTGCTGGAGATAAGATGGTTTTTGGGGACTGTCCTGCCCCCGTCGACTCCTCCCAGGGAGGCAGCCACAGCCAAAGTAGTTCAAGACATCAAAGTTCATGCTCAATCATCCAGGTACAAAATTAATGTATTCAGTAATGTCCTATTATAGAATCTTCACCTTAACATGGAGGGTACAAGGACACCATGATACTGTGGGCTGTGTTCTTTTTGGCATCCAACTGACTGAGTTTCAAAGATCTTGAGTAAACAAGACCACAAAAAACTGGTCACCTTCGTAGGGTGCATGTGGTGGCAATGTGTTTCTGATTAGCACCTGTTGGGTGAGCCTTGACTTGTGGGACTCAAGTGGGCCCAGCCTGATAAAGTTTAGAATGCCACCTTGACACAGACACTACAGGAGGAGAAGTCAGGGATGGGTGCAATGTGAGCTTGTTTTTCATTCCTGGCATCATAAACCGGTTCTAGGTACTTGCCTCCCACTGCTGGAAATAAATTGAAAATGGATGTGAGGCAGTGATGCTAACTAGATACAATTAGGCTCAGGTATTCACAGCCTATACACTCTGAAACCAAACTCCTGCAAAGGAGTCAGAGTCCATCCATACAACATGTTTGTCTGTTGCTTTCCTTTTCGGGTCATGGGGGTCACTGGTGCCCATAGCCAGCAGTCACTGTATGAGAGGCGGGACACACTCTGGACAGGTCTCCAGTCCATCACAGGGACACATAGAGACCAACAACCATTCACTCTCTCTCACACTTAGGGACACTTTAGAGTTACCAATCAGCCTAACATACATGTTTTTGGTCTGTGGGAGGAAACTGGAGTACCCGGAGAAAACCCATGCATGCACGGAGAGAACATGCAAACTCCACACAAAATCGACCCCCAGCCGAAATTTGATCCGGTGACCTTCTCACTGAGAGGCAATGGCCCTATGAACTGAGCCACCATGCTGCCCAGGGCTGGAGTCTATCATACCAAAACCAGCTGAACCGTGTTCAAGCCCTCCATTGTAGTTGCTGTGGTCTAAAGATGGTTGGTGGATGTTGCTATGGTAACAAATTACTATCAGTGGCAAAAAGATCAATTTTAAGATTTATCTAGCAACTCCACCATGATGAGGGCACTCACTTCTTCAATTACTAATGCATGGCCTGTTGATTGTATAGCCTGATTAGATAAAACTGTCTTTAATTACAAAACAGATTTTGCTGTTAAACACTCAAAAGCATTTTAGCCCTTTAAAATACAATTTCATGGTTACTCCAAAAGAAGTATGATAATCCTGCAGGAAGAACTGAAGTCTGCACTAGAATTGCTACAGCTAGCTGCTGCCGTTTTCTCTGCTGGCAAGTAAGCAGACTACTCTGTGCAGATAATTGTATGATGTAAAACTTATGGCTATGTAGAGGTGTTATTTCTCGGTGTTCTATGAAATAGTTTACAATAAAGATGCTTTAAGATGGCAGAAATGTCCCCCTTGGTTTTTGGTCTCATCCAGACCAGTCATTAGATTTTAAAGAGCAGCTGAAATAAGAGCTTACAATTTTCACAAAACACAGCTTCAAACAATCTGCACTTTATTATGCACCATCATAGAAAGTGATAACTTACTGTGGGTGGGTCTTGTACACCGTACCATCCACACCAATGGTGATTCTCAGTCCTCCCAAATTTCGGTTTAGTCTGATTCGTGTTAAGATGGCTGCCAGTCCCGCAGCCACCAGATTTGAGGACCTGAATGATACAATGGTGCTGACATGTTGAACAGCGATGCAGTCATCAGGTGATGGGGTCAAATCAAGCTGATTTAGAATGTTCCTGGTGTTATTCAGACCATTTCTGTACCTAAGAAAGAAGATTATTACTGGTTAAGATTTTTAGACTGAGGCAGTGATGGAGAAATAATGCATCTTAACGCACTCCTCCATTGCTGCTACATCTGCAGTGGTTATCTTCCCTTTGGTCCTCAGGGCATCTGACACACGTCCATCAAACAGCAGTCCCAGTTTAGCCATCTTTAGTACAACCAACCTCACCAACTCACCCAGATACATGCCACTGACCATTTTCTCAAATCTGCAGTTAAATAAAGTGTGAAGAGTAAAGACACAGAAAATCTGAGACGTGTCCTATATTCTGTACAGCATCATGTTTAACATGAGAGAAGACAAAGATGTTTCCCCAACATTTGTTTCCCAGGGTTGCTGGAGGCTGCATCGACATCTCTGTCAAACTCCGTTATGAAATCATTCAGGGCCCCATCATCTCCAAAGGCCCCCCACTCAGTGTTCACACACATCCTGCCCTCATCTCCCTCCACCAGGTCGATATGACGCAGCTCCTCCATGTAACAGGCGTTAGTGCCAGTGCCTAAGTACACAAAAACACACAACATACATATGTTGCATTTATATTAACACTGACATACAATATATACACAGGGTTCAATTATTATAACACTAGCATGAAGCTGTAAATACATTAAATTTAAACGAACATTATAAAACCCTGCCTCCTATTTTTTCCTGTTTAAATAGATTACAAAAAAAAAAACAAATAATACCATCTTATAGTCATGCGTCAATTTTTGTTATTGCAAAAATCCACAAGAGGGAGCTGCATATATTGAACAAACCATAATTATTTCAGTCAACTTTCAAACCTTTTTAAAACCATAAAGATAAAAATTAAAAATAAATAAAATGGAAAAAAAGAAAAATTTTCCCCCTCAAGTTTTGGAGTTAAAGCTGAAATTTAGAATTTTTTTTTTTTTATATATATAGGTTTTATAAAATTAAATATTTTAATTATTACAACTATTTCAGAGCCACTTCTTGGTTATTTTAAATCTAATTTGAAGACGTTTTAATAGCGTTACTGCTGTCAGTGTTGAGACAAATGTGTATTTTCATGCATTCATCATGTGTCATGTGTGTTCTACTTAAGAAGGAGATTTAGACATTATACTCTTTTCTATTTACTAACTGTGAATGTTAAACGGTCCCATGTAATCATTCTTACTGTGACCAGTCCGTGATGAACAGAAAGAACTGGTGATTTTAATATCCTCAAGGATATGATATTGATATGATAGATATGATATGCTGACGTGTCTCAGGCAGAGTCATTGACTCAGATCCACTCCTTCCTGTCTGCAAGTGGACCTTTCGATGATGGCTCAGAACATGGAGTGGAGGAGCTGAGGCCTGGACTGAAAGATTCCTCTATAAAACTAATGTGGCCGGTCCAGAGAGTTAGAGCAGGTCAGGGTTTCATGTGGATGAGAGCACTGATAACAGTGTAATATTGTAATTGCATGTTCTGTAAATTGTTGGACTGCTCTCCAAAGCTTTGAAAATAAATCTGATGAAATACACTTTGGTCTGTTCTGGGAATCTCCTTTTTTCCACAACAGCAGCTTCTAGCTAAACTGTGACTAATGGGTTCTGATATATTACAGGAAACTATAAAAGTGATTATTTAAAAATCTGCCCTGGCTGCAGAGACTAGTATGACTTTTGTGAATATTCTTACCAACGATGAGTCCCACTTCACAGTACTGGTCATCAAATCCACAGGTCATCATGGTCGCCACAGTGTCATTAACCATAGCTAATACCTCTACATTCATATCCTGCACAAATCAAAAGGTGATACACGTCACACAGCAAGTTATCATAGGGGTGATGGTTTTATCACGGTCATACAGACAGATAACTGAAAGAATCTGTAAAGTAAAAAGAGCTAACAGATAACAAATTTTCATACAACACTAGCTTGGTGTTAAGTGTGTCCTTTATAAATGGGTGAGCGCAGGACATTAGGTGGCTGGTCAAAGAAAATTAGGATAAAAAATAAAACCATCTCAGCAGATGAACAGCATTTTAATGTCATGCTGTTAAGAGTAGAAAAATAAACCTCTGATGAAGGCCTTCTGGCTGAAACATTAAAATAAAATTAACTTTGTCCCTAAAAATCATTTGTGTACGAGTGATCCGTTTTTGAACATTTGGTATTGGATTTTACACACCTTGATTCCATGTAAAAGACAGTACACACAATTATTTTTCAATTTTGAGGGTAAAGAAACATCCTGTATGCCAAGTTTTCAGCTTATAGTGTTTTTCGGATTCACGGAGTTAGTAAAGACAAAACAAAATAGAATACAATAAAAGCCTGCCAAATAGTGTCATTTTACGCATTTTTAAATGAATATAAAACAAATTACCTTTACAAAACACCGTTCACAACAAACAAAAGACAAAATCAGTTATTTGCTAAAATATTTTTGTGTTATGACAGAAAATCCCGATTTAGGACGTCTCTTTTATTACCTGAGGAATGCATCGAAGAGGAAAATACGAGGAGTGGATTAAAAACATAAAACGTGGTCAATCTTCAAAGAAAAACATCCATTTTTCCTCGAGATAATCTTTTTTTTACTTGCAGTTTCCTTATGACTTATACTTTATGTTTCAGAAGTGTCAATGACCACTCATAAACGACAGGTCATAAATAAACTCCTTGTGCCCTGGGTTCATCAAACAAATTGAGTGTAAAGAATAAAGTGATGAGTTCTGGCATCATACCTCAGTCCTGTCAATAGCTTCTCTAAGGGCCTGGACCACATCCTTTCCCTGAAGGCCCCGGGCTCTGTAGTTCTTGCACCAGCCTAACAACTTGCCCTGCAGAAAAAAAAAACATTTTATGAATCTAAATCTGAAAAGATGGACTCGTGTAGACACCCAGAGTAAAGTGCACTGCTGTTACAGGTTATGAAAACCAGATGGAGGACCTACCTGATCCAAACTGGTTTGTTCGCAGGGGAAAGAGAAGGTAAAGGCTAGGGGATGTTTTTTCTCCAGTCCGATCTTCTTTTCATGTAGAAAGTCCTTTAGAGACTCTGCCACATGGTCAAATAACTACAGATGAGAAGCATTGGAGAAAGCAGTGGAGATGGTTGAGAATCTTTGAATTTATATTCTGCACATGATCTTAAAAAGTGTTGAATCATTTCTTACCTCTGCTGCTCTCCCAGCATGCAGCTCCTTTGGTATCGGATAGATCTTCTCCTCCATCTCCACTTCTCCTTTCCTAATCCCAACACCCTCTCTAACTTTAACTTGGAGCACCTTAAACTTGGAGCCGCCAAGATCCAGGGCCAGAAACTGACCTTTCTCTGCAGGAGAGTGAAGCAGAAAAACAGAGCACCATTATCGGTGAAAGTTCTTCTGAAGTGACCACCAATGTGTAAACATACGTTTATATCAATGCTCATTATAACCTGATCCGTCGGGAGTGGAGCAGACATGTGTTGGCAGCATTTTGACAGCTGC